ATTGTATAGGGTACTTAAAACTAGATGAGGTAAATGGCAGAGTTCATGAAATGATTTTAATCTATCCCCCGTGTAAAAATGAGAAGACATTGGTTTATATATAGCACACATTTTGCAAAAATATGAGCCTCGAACAGTAGGGAACGAATATCAATGCTACTGTGGTGTTGTGCTTATGAAGTTAAAGTTCTCCGTTGAGAGTAAAGCAATAGATTTTTTTTTTTTTTAAGTTGCATGTCAAACTGAGTAAACCTTGAACTTTTCCCAGGAAATTTCTCTCATTTATTCTTTGTAGTTTTATACATGAATGGTGATGAAAAGTCACAGCCTTTACTTGTTATCCCTAACAGTGTTTGTAATTAACCATACGAGGACTTCTGTCTGCCTTATGACATTTCCAAAAATTTTTATTTCAATATATATCGATTGAAGGCCCATCCTAGGGGCCGAGATGCTAGGTGGGGAAATATAAGGATATTTGACATCACTGATAAAGTATTTCGGTAAAATGTTAAGTGCTTCCACTGAGCCCATTGCTTCATGTGGTTCTGCAGCACCCCTGCACGTCTTCAGGCTGCTTTCTGTGTCATCACTCTCACCTGCCTCTCCAGCTACCACGTGCCATCTTTAAGTGCCTGTTTGCACTTATTTAGGAACATAAGAATGACTTGGTCCCCTTTGCAAATTTATCTTACCCACTGTCTCTTTCCACGTGATTTAACGTCTTTCAACACGCCGTCTGAGCCCCATCATCCAGTGAAGGTTTGCCCCGCTTTTCGGAATAAGTATTATTTCTGCGAGGGAGAGAGAAGAGGGAGGAAAGAGGGAGGGGGAGGGGGGAGGAGAGGCTAACCTATAGATGAGGAAAAAATAAAGAATTCTATTGCTCATTTTCTCTCTCTCTATATATATATTTTAAGAAAAAAGGTCCAGTTCATATACAAGACAATATTGAAGGTTTAGAATGCCCGAAACACATATTAACCCCCAAACTTTCAATATGAGAATCCTCGAAGCTGTGATAACTTAAAAAGGAAAACTAAACTATGTTTTCTCTAAATCTGGCTTTTCTTCTTTCTGCTGCCAAGCTTCAAGAACGTATTTAGGCATTTTTTTTTTTTTTTACCTCGTTAGGTGAGGCATTTGTTTGCTTCACCTTCACACGGGAGAGTATGTTATGGTTGAGTCTATTGGGCCATGGTTTTCTAGGTTTTCTAAGATGACCATGTTTAGGTTGAGACCAAGGCAAGAAAATTCTTGGACAAAGAGTGTCTGACAAATGTATCAATGGCCAATTGGAATACATAATTATTTTATTTTGAAAATATTTTATTTTGAAAATCACAAAATAAAAATCAAACAGGAGTTATGAATGCTGAAAAAATGTTAAATGAAAACATTTTTATGCCTCTTCAGAAATCTTTTGTATTATTTCTCTTTTCTTTAATATTTTATTTATTTATTCTTAGAGAGAGAGAGGGAGTGGGGGGAGGAACCGAGGCAGAGGGAGAAAGAGAATCTCAAGCAGACTCCACACTGAGTGCAGATCCCTACACAGGGCTCAGGGGTTAACCTACTGAGTCACCCAGGCGCTGCTTCCTTGTGGCTCTAGTTAAAAGGACAGAGGATGTGCTATAATGCAGATACTAAAACGAAAAATACCTGGAGGGAAGGGCCTCGGAGGGACTAATTTGCATGGCTGTGCTTTCCCAGTGCTTCTGTAAGCTTCCTTATTTTCCTACACCGGGTTGAGCATTGCTCCTAAATCAACAAAAATATTGCCTTGCACTTGCTTTTTATATTATCAATATTGAACAATGTGACAAGAATATTTATATCTGTGGAGCAATAGGATATTTCATGAATATGAAATATGAATTTCAAAATTCATGATGTTAGATTCTTTGAACTCTTATATACCCCAATGATACTTAAATTAACATCTATTGGCCGATGATATTTTGATCATGAAAAATTATCAAGGATGTTTGGCCTTTTACCTAATTGGCACAGACTCAGAAACTCAAGATACTTTATTGGGGCTCTTGGAATACTCAGATCTGGTTAAATTCTGAGAAATTTTATTACTCAGTGTCATTTACTCAAATTAATCAGTAACCTGCTCTTTGTGTTTTGTTGCTGTTATTTACGTGTGGCTGATAATACAGGCTTTTTATGATGCTATTTCTCTTTAAAAATGAGGAATGGCTCTTTTCACTGTCTTGTGGGAAGCCAAGGAGGACTATGGAGCTGACAGCTGCAACATCAAACCGAACTAAAATAAAAACCTTGGAGTTCCATGCCACCAAATTTTTCAATCTTTCTCCCTTCATTATTTGTACTGCTACTACAAGCAAATAACTGATGGGAGTTTCTAGATGTTTTAGAGCAACCACTTCCAGATGAAAGCATAATACAAGCAAAATGTCTTTTTTTTTTTCAATTATATCTAAAATTTTCCACATCACTTAGCTATGTGGATCTACAGGTAGTTTCTCTTTTGCGGGGATGGGTAGGGTACGTTACTTACCATATAAAAAAAAATGGTATCCAAGAGAGAATCAGAATACCTGTGTCAGTGCAATCCTATGCATTGGATGGAGACGCACAGGCAACTGAACATGTAAACAAAATCACAACACAAAAGTGTTTTAATTTTCACGTCCACTCCGCGGAAAGTGGTAACCTGCTGCTATTAGGACATTCGGCAAGGGTCACATGTGTAGTAGAGGTGAAGCAGACACTTGAACATCTGTCCACTTCATGGGAAGACTTTTCATCTCAGAACACACGTACTAATAAACAACAGTTGGAGAAAATTGTCCATGACACTCAACATAAAGCTGAGCTTTAGCTGAGAGAAGGGTGGAATTTTATTTCCTTTTGTAAAGCGAAAACAGCCGTGAGTGCTGCCTATTCGAAACCCCTGACGTTTAAAAAGAATTGTAAGAAATCAAATTGTTCAATTTGGAACGAAGAGCGGCCGAAGTTACTGGAAAGCTCATGCCTCTGAGTCTGCAAAATCACCGGCCAGGAGAGCAAAACTTTTCCAATATCCAATTTTAATATTGTGCTAAAGCCATTGACTCTGTTAAAAACCCTGGAGTTAAATATCCCCTCCCCACTGCACCCCCGCCCTTTCTCTCTTAAGTTAGAGTTTGGGGGACAAGGGGCTGGAGCTTGGCCCCAACCTGGGAATTGTTGCCAAGGGCTTGTAATACAATCTCTCCCCATTTGAAGGGTAAATCAGTGTCAATTGCGTTTGCCGTCCACCAGAAAAAGTAAGCATTTTACTTCCGCTCGGTCTATGTGGACTGATGAAATGTAGGAAATCTGTTTCTGGCAGGGGGGAAAAATCGTTTTCCCAAACAGCACCGAGAGGAGCCATCAGAGAAGTATGAAGAGGGGTAGTGCGGCTGTAGCTGCTGCCGAGCTGCCGGGGTGCGGAGCGCGGCTGCTGCAGGACCTGCGCCGGGAGGGGGCCGACCCCGAGACGCTGCGCGAGCGGAGCCGGGAGCCCCGGCGCCTCTGAGAGCCGCCAGCAGCCAGCTCCGGACGCCGGGTGAGCGAGGCGGGCCGGCCGGGTTTCAGCCGGCGCCGCCGCAGCCGCCGCAGCCGCCGCGCGCGCTCCGCAGCGGGACTGCGGGAGCCCTGCCTGCGGGTGCGCGGGGGGCGGCGGGGGAGGGGCGCTCCGTGCGGTGACCTCGGGGGCGCGGCTGGGACGCGCGAGGAGCCGCAGACCGCTGGACGGGCTCTGGCGCTCAGTGGGTAGGCACTGCAGTGCGTGACTGGGATTCCCTGGACACAACCATGTGTCCCTCATCCCTATTGTGGAACGGCCCAGATGACTGCCGCACAGAGAGCCCGCTGGGGCGGCTCAGCCAACCAGGGACTGAAGTGAGGACTTCTCATTAGCACATGGATTCTAAACGCACACTTATACATTCGTGCGCCGGGGTCTCTGTGATGCATGCTCAGCGCGGGCGGTTGCTGGGGAGAGGGGAGCTGAGCGAGGGCAGTCTGCCTGGATGGATCCTGAGTGTTTTACTAGAGTGGAGGAGGCCGGGATGGCAGGAAAGAACACGACACTTAACGATTTGGGGAGATACTCCCTGTTTCCGACTGATGAGTTTCACAGAGTTGGGCTTTAAAAAAAAAAAAAAAAGTGAATAAACAAACGCTAGCCTATGAATCAACCCCGTTTGAGAAGATTTTTGCAGAGCAGTAGGGCTCTTTTCATCCAGAGAGCAGGGTTTTGGAATCCTAAATTGTTTGGGGAGCAGCAGGGGAGCCAATTTTGCTTTGGAGGCATTAGGTATTCCGGCAAGATTAAATCCTATCAGCCCAGGAAGGTAAATTGCCATTAAGTTAGCCCAGACATCCGAAGTTGCTACGGTCTTGACTAGAGAGGGAGCAAAAGCAGGCGTTAACAGATTCTGTTTTCGACATTCCAGGACAACTGGGGTGGGGGTGGGTTGTGCAGTACTTCCCTCCAGTTAACCTTTTCGGAAATCAAAGCCTTTACTTTCCCACCTTCTTCACCTTCATTCCCTCACCCTCCTTCACTTTCATCCACTTCTAGTGAAGAGTTTGCAAAACTTTACCGTCCCTCTTGTAAACTCCTCCCTCTCTCCAAGTACCCTCTCCCACAAAGCTAAATCAGTTGTGTACAGGAGATCTTTTGTGGGGGAAATAAGATCTGCATGTGCACAGGAACACCCATTTGGCCTCCTAGTGTTAAAATAAAGGCTCAGACAGGTCGGATGTGCCAGCCAGGCAGGAAAAGTCCACCTTTCCCCCTCACCTAACGCTGAGATTCACAGCCGCAAGGCTGGGAACGAGCCCTTGTGGCTCATTGCTTCCTTCCCCCAACCTCTTAGCCGAGGGGACGCTGATTAGCTGCAGCTGGGGTCTAGTTTGCCCAGCCTTTGAAATCGATCAATGGGCTCCTTCTCCAGGAATGCTCCCCCCCTAACTGAGGAGGAGGAGGTGGTGGCTCTGGTGGCCTTCTCCAACATGGGCGTCCTGGTTCTGACCGCCTAAGAGAAGGTAAGGGACAGATGTCTGAGGCGTGGGACAGACAGCTTTTGCAATGCACATTGCAGCCTTCACACATGGCTCCCTGAATGGGCGCTGGATCGGAAAGGTAGCTTGAATTTCAGCGTGTGTGCTAACTAAACTTTGGGCTTATTTCTTCACTTTAGTGTTAAATACCCTACTTCTGTGATGTGGACTGTGTTTTACTGGGAGATACAGTCACACAGCACATTTCTTTCACCTGGTACAAAAGGTCATGCGATTGCCACTAAGTTTTCTAGAATCTTGGTAAGAAATCTTAGCTAAAGCTTCAACTTGCAGGTATGGTGAAATGTCAGGTCTTATATTAATCACAAGTATGTTATGTGTAATTTTAGAATTTTGATTCAAGGCTGCAAGTCTGTATTACAAACTTTTGGAGCCTTTGAAAGGCCAAAGTTACCTTGGTTGAAAACAATGAGGCTCTGACAATTTCTTTGCCGAATTTTGTTAAAACTGCAACTGATGTTAAGGCTCTTTTGGTATTTTTGTGGTTTTGATATAGAGGCACAAACAGGAACCCACTATTTCTTTTCATTTCTTCCAAGCAACAATCAAGATTTTCCACTCAGTGTTTTCAGACTAGAGAAAAGAACTGGAGAGAAGGTAGAAAATACCTCTTGTCAAAATGGGTAATGCTTGTGTAGTTTTTCTGTCCTAAATGTTTTCAGGGTCAATTGAGTTTTTACTACTGTTCTCCCTTTATATGAGACTATACGCAATATATATATGTATATATATATATATATATATACATACACACACACATATATTCAATACAATGTAGAACTCTGCTAGCTCTTAACTGCCTTATAGTTAGTAAAACAGAAGTCTTTGTATCACAAACAACATCAAAACCCCCAAAATGTTCTCATGAATTAAAGTTGACTTAATCAACTTAGATGAAATTTTGAGGTAAGCACTTAGTCTAATTGATTAATGACTTTCAGATGGTTTTCTATTCAAATTATGTTTCAAGTTAATCTGGAGGGGTCCAAAAACCAGTGCTAAATTCTTTGGAAGAATGGATTAGTAGGATTTTTAAAAACTTGAAAAAATTTCAAATGCCATGAAAATATAAGAATCAATCTCCACTTAGTGTTAATTTATTGGTCATGATTTGAGAAGGAATTATTACATGTATACTATCATTTAGTTCAAGACAAATCATCATGGGGCTGCAAGAAGAGAAAGAGATTTCCTGGAAAAAAACCAAAAAACTTAGCATTACTCGAAATTGGATGCCAGGAGAGCTGAGTAGGATATTTTTAATGACTGACTAATAACCTTGTTACTTTGGGCAAAATATTTTAGTCCTCTAGTCTCTAATTAAAAACCAGGAATTTGACTGCTACATCTTCTAAGGTTCATTTGGGTTTAAAGATTTTATTACATAATGAGAAAAATTGATAATGAGTGTCATTTTGCCTTTAGTCTTGGTGCTTTTTTAAAATTTGTGGACAAATTGTGCCTCTTAACCAGAGTGTGGGTCCACTTCTAAGATCTTGAATAATCTTTCTGATTAAATTTTAGACTTTTATTTTCTAATTAGGGCCTTAGGTTAAGATTTGGTATTCATGGCATTGGTTGAGAATATGTAGCTTTGTAGAGATGTTATTGGTTAGCCAAAATGAATCACATAGAAGGAAAGAACTCAGAATGAAGAGCCATGTAGAGTGGTCCTTGGTTATTAGTTCTTTGAATCTCAGTTGAAAGATAGCATTTTCTCCTTCCAAAATTTGAAAGAGTGTTTGGCTTGGGATGTTTTTCATTAGTTCAATTTTTTTTAAATGGTGTTATTGGCCTATAAATTTTGTTTCTTCATTGTTTCACGCTCATAACACACAAAATTGAATAGAGGTGAGGTCAATGCTACAGATCAGAACAAAGTTGGCCTTTAGGGATGGATCCCTTGACTGTGGGTTCATTAGCACTCTGTTTTAAAAGGTTACCATTATGGAGTCTGCACGTGTGTGCGCGCGCGCGCATTGGTTGGGGGGGAGTGTCGTGACATCCTTTCTCATTTATTTTTGAAGGTACAGGGTTCCCCTGTTTTTGACTGGTGTCAAACAGGTATAATTTGTTACCAAACTTTGCTTTTAAAAACACATGTAAACTCATTTTAGAGCTTAACATTTCATTCATCACCTGTCAATATGAAGAAAACTTTGGATTTTCCCTTTTTTATGGTTTTATTTCATCAATACTTTGTTTTCATTTCTCCCTTTTTGACTTTTTTTAGTGATTTATAGTTCTATAAAATATTTCTATTTTGTTACAGAACTGTTTTTGTTTTTAAAATATGTCAGTAGGAGTTTTATTTTGGCACATTTTCTATGAGGATGATTAAGGTTTAGCTAGTATTTATTGGATATAAAATATATACCAAAAACTGACACAAATATTTAATCTTCGAATTATATTTGAGGTATTTGCCTCCATTGTACACACTGAAAAACTCCAGTACAAAGAGAAAGTCATCCAACTGGAACAGAACAGCTATTAAATAGCTAGACAGTGGAGTCAGTATTTGACCCCAGCACTTCTGATTCCCAATCTAATATTCTATCCACTAATCAAGCTTCTTAGTGGATCTCATAGCAGACAGTAGTGATATAATGTTTATAATTTTCCCTTATTTTTCTTTCTTTCCAATTTATTTTCTATGCAATACATGTCAGCAAAGTCTAGAGATAGACTGGAAACCATCTTGGTCATAAAGCACACCTCTAGGGGGCATGAAAGCATACTTTTTTTTCAGATTCAAAACTATGATGTTTTCAACTGGGATTCTGGAGCAACAGACTAAACAGTCTTTAAACATGTGATATTTTACTTATGGAGTCATTAATTTTTTCTTCTTCCCCTGGGCTAGTTCAGTCTCATCATAGTCATAATGGTTATTCCAGAATCAGTTCTACTATGGAAAGAAAGAAAAAATAATACACACACACATTCTTTGAAGAATTCTGTATTAAATTTCTGCATGTTTTTCCCTTTAAGTTCTATTTTTCTGAATTCCAAATCCTGAGGGTTGAGTTATTCATTTTTAGATAGACCCATACAGCTTGGAGAAGCCATAGTTCAGAGAGTCATAGAAGCATTTGAGTCCTTCTGTTTCTAAAGCAATTGACTTTGCTTAGTACTTACCAAAGTCACTTATCAAGCTTTTAAAATATTTAGATTATCTGAATTTTCATGGTAACATCTTTCAGTGTTTAGATATATTATATAAAATGTTTTTCTTTCCCCCAAACCTAACTTTTTTTCAAATCTAATGGATCCTTAATCATTTTATTTCCCCTCTTTAAAACCTACTCCTTGGCATCTCTTTTGGTTTTTGAAAACTTGAATAATTCAAAGGATCAGAAATTATCTTTTTGTTGTAATGTGTTCTTTGTGATCTAACTCAACTCATCCAGTTGGTTAAAGTTGAAAATTCTAAAAAGGGTACAATCCCGTAGGGATCTTTTTATCTGAGTAATATAAATTTATTTGATTGTTATTCATACCAATTTAATCACTTCAGTTAGAAACTACTTCACCATGGGATAATTCTTCCACACTCCAAATTTTGATCCTAGCTGGATTCATTTCTGTGTTTCCTATTCATGTCTCTGCCATGTTTAAATCGAAGACTTCCGTGTAGTGACTTTCAGCTAAACCACAAAGTCATGCTAGATTTGATGGTGATTTGAAATATGAAAAATGGATCAGGAGAACTTGGTTTGAAATCCCGATCTTTTTTTTCCCAAGGCATGTAAACATAAGAGTCCCTATCTATGACAGTGACTTTAGGTGTCCACATATTTGGCATATATTTAATTGTTTACTTCTATCACCTGCTAATTACCCACTAAAACTTCTTTCTCCCACTTTGGCTTCCTGGGGAAATATAATCTTATCGTTTTTTTTCCCCTTTGTATGTAATTTTGATTATATCCAAAGCAGCATAACAAAAATTGCTTAATTACTCTTATTGTTTTTACTTACTGATCATCTATAAATATTAAAAGATAGCTTGAATTACATTTCTGGCAAAATACAGGACAGACTACATGAGAAATAAATGTGCCACTGTCAAGGAAAAGAAAAACTTCACTGTTTGGAAGGATTGAGGGGAAGGATTGTGTCCTTCTGGCTCATTGAAACTGTTACATGCCATTAGGCTTACTGTAAACTATCCCTTGATGAATTCTTTGCTGGACAATGAGCTTAAGAAAATGAGGTGTCTTCTTGTTTTTACAGAGCAAAATAGGATTCTGGTGCTTAAATGAAAGTTTGCAGAGCACATAATAGGATGTAGGTAAAGTTACTGAACTACTACATCTCACTTTCAGGAAAGTAGTGGGAGAGATTGTGTCTTGAGAAGAAAGGCATTTTAGAGGTAACCCTTTTAAGATTTCAATTAGTTATTTAAATGTATGAATCATGTGCTTAAATGTGTTATTACTTAAATGTTTGTTTCTGAGGCTAGCTAGCCTATAGGAATCCTAACCAGCCACAGGGAGATGTCTTGTTTTCCTGGGACTGGACCTATTTTTAAAAGAACTGGAGCAAAATGTTTTAGATTTCTGGTATTTAATCGTAGGGTTTGGAGAAAGCTTCAGGACATTATCTGAATATATAATTAACTGCAAAAAAATAGGCAATGATGATATTCTGGCTTCTGTAATGATAATTTAGTAAAATATGACAAAATGTATTAAAAATCTTTCACATTTGCACTGGTTCACTTTAGATAATTAGATATATAGAGATTTATAAAAAATGTTTTCAAAAATAATTTTTGGTAATTTTTTTGCAAAAAGTTATTTCAAAGCATAATTGCTTTGGAAATGAAATTGCCTATGTTTTTAAATTATACATTTATGACGCTTTTTAGGTGTTGACTCATGTTACCAGTCTTTTCCAATATTACACCAAAATGTTTGGGAGACAGTCACATTTTGCAATTTTCTGAACACCAATGTTGTCTTTTTTTTTCCAAAAGCAGTCTTAAAAGGCAAAAAATTAAGCTATGCTAAGAGAATTAGAGTTTAATAAGTAGAAAGGAATATTATGTAAAGAATAAAACTGTCAGAAGTGTATACAACTTATATTGGTAAATTTAAAATACCATAAATATTGAAATGTAGCTGAAAACCTCATTATATCCTATCATACTTCTTTCCAGCTGCAAATATTTTCATTTTCATTAGTCATACCACACGTGGTTATTTCATATGCACTATTTATATACAGAATAGAGTCCTACACATTGTTAAACTGATGAGTTTGTTTACCTTAGCTACTTCAATATTACTTCTGTAGTCTTAGGTCCTATAAATGATGCATGCAAAGTGCTACATTCAAGGCCAAGTATATATTCAAACATCCTTTCTACAACCCAGGCAGGGGGCTATGCCACTCATAAGGTGGTTGGGTTAATGAAATCATCTTTTATTTTATAGACCTAAGACATTTCACTACTTCTACTCTAAAGATGATTGCAAGCAAAACTAGTCTGTAAAATATATAAAGTGGGAAGACAAAAGTAAGATAAAAGAAAACCCTATGGCAGTAGTTACTAGGATTGTGTGTAATTCTCGTGTTGTAATATGGGTTCTTGATGAATCTATTTTGTAAAATGTATCATTCTGGAAAGAATAGTGTGAAGACCCAGGTTCAAGCCTGACTCTGCCATGTTCTAGTATATGATCTTGTTTAAGTCATTTATCCTCTCTTATTTTTTTTTTCATTAACTCTGAGAAAAGTGTAGTAGGTACTCTTTGAAAGCATCTCCTTTCCTGTCTCCCCACCAGTTCTCTAAACTGTGAATCCATGATAGTTTACCCATATGCAAAGAACCAAGTGCTCTGCTTAATCTTACAGGTAATAGTTTTAAGAATAGTTGTCCTAAGTTTACAGTAAATCGTGCAAATTATGTCATTGCTTGCACTCACTACTAAAATTCTGTGGAAATCTATGGTTTCAGACATTAGCCAAAACATTGGGAGTTTACAATTTGGACACTGAAATTTTAATCAAGCCCTTTTTATTACTTTTGAATAAGTGGAATTTCTTGCCTTACAAGCTGACTTTTTCCAGTATGATATTTTACATGAGCTTGGAGCTTAGTGTTTGATTTTTCTATTTGACCTTAGATGGCTGATGTTTCCTACAGGTGGTTGGTCGAAAGGGATAGGCCCAATGCAGGAAAAGCAAATAGTGTCTCATGGGGTTTAATAATTAATAACCTGACCTGTTATCAAAGCGTCCATGGACCTGGTTCCTTACTATGTCATTGGCAGAAAGATTTCAACAAGAGACGTCTATGTAAAAAGCAACTGTTCTTTTGTTTCCAAAACAGGGATTACAAGTGGATAAATAATGTGCACTGCTCTGAGCCCAAAGGTACGCAGTGGACCTGGCCTCTCGGATATGCATCAGTATAGCCAATGGCTGGCGAGCAGACATGAAGCTAACTTGCTACCGATGAAGGAAGATCTGGCCTTGTGGTTAACCAATCTATTAGGTAAGGTTATAAGATCTCATTTGGGGAGCAAAGATAACAGTTTTTTTCCCTTCACCTCATGTCGTGTCCTTCACCTAGGCATGTGACAGCTCCTTGGGAAGAATGATTTCATTATTTGGATTTTACATCTGGGCAACCTGAAACGTGTGGAAAATTTGAATGAATTTCTCAATATCTCTCACATGAACTGTGCTTAGTAATTCCAGTGTCACGCACTGAAAGGTGGAAATGTGTGGCCAAATCACTTATTTCATCTATATGCTGATCTGATTGATTTTGGATTTTTCTTTCATGCAGCTGACCACTTTGACCTGTTCTTTTGACATTGTACTCAGGCCACAATGTGAAATTCTGACTTCCAAAACTAGATTTCTTTGCCCTACTTTCATAGCACACCTTCTGAAACTGCTGATGTCCAAGCTCTAGTACAAAAACATCTATCCTTTGTCTAAATGAGCTAACTGGAGTCATCTGACCTTGAACTGAAATTTTTCTTTTCATTTTGCTTTTGTTTTTAAGTACTCTTCTAAAAGTTGTCTCTGAGAAACATGCTACCTCATGTTAAGGCTGCCTCTTTTTTTTTTTTTTCATTTCTATTGTGCCCTCATATTCATAGGATAAAATTTCAACCATGTGCAAAATGGAATCATACATTTAAAGGATCATCATCTAGAGCAGTGCTGTTTTCACTAGTAGTTTTTCACAGAGAACAGAATGAAAACCTGAGGGAAGGACCCTTATAGACATATGAGATAGAAGATTTGAATATTGAGTAAATATAGAATTTATATGGTGCTTTATCATTTGCAGAAGGGATTTCAATAACATTATTTTCTTATTTATTTTTTTTAAAGATTTTATTTATTTATTTGAGAGAGAGAGAGAGAGAGAGAATGAGAGATAGAAAGCACGAGAGGGAAGAGGGTCAGAGGGAGAAGCAGACTCCCCGCTGAGCAGGGAGCCCGATGTGGGACTCGATCCTGGGACTCCAGGATCATGACCTGAGTTGAAGACAGTCGCTTAACCAACCGAGCCACCCAGGCGCCCCTTATTTTCTTATTTAAAAAATCCTTCAAGGCAAGTATTTTTTTTTCTCCCCACTTTCTAGCTGATGGAACTAAGGAGCTTAGTGAGGAGCACCCTGTTTATCTGAAGTCCTAGCAAGGTTTTAACAGGGTTCGGCAAGACTTTAACATATTTTAGCAAAATGTTCTTTTTGCTCACCATGGCTCTGGGGTTTTGTGTGGCTGTTACATTTTTTTTAAGCCTTCATCCGAAGGGTAGATGTCTCCTTTTTCCTCAGTGTGTACACTATTTTGACGCCTCTATGTAGTGTAGCCAGGGCTCCCAGCCACAGGGGAAGGGCAGAAATGCAGAAGGCATCCCCAGGAAGACCCTTCACTATGCTATGGCGCTATACCCACTAGAAGGAAGGGACTCCCCCCTTTTAGTTAGACATCCCTACAAAGGAGGAGTTTTTATCTTCATCATATACAATGAGTCAAGTTTGTCTAAGCAGATGGATTTTTTCTTTCTCTTTCCCTCTTTTTTATTTTATTTTTTATTTTTTTGCTTCTCGGGGATTCACTAATGATTGTTACATAAGTAATTGATTATTAACTTTGAGCTGTCCTCAGCTATGGGCTATCTCAAGTACGGTGGCACAGGCGGAAGTTATGAGCAGAGACTTGACCCTGTTGTGTTTGAACCCCAGATCTGCCACTTACTAGCAATATGATCCTGGGCAAGTTACTCACCTTGTCTGTGCCTCAGTCTCCTCGTCGGTAAAGTGGTAATAATAGTCGTGTCTCCTTTGCAGGGTTGCTGTTGGATTAAATGATTACAATAGGTATACTACTTAGTGCTAGGCATATTGTAAATACCATATGCTTGTCATTGTTATTCCATTTACATAGTTCACTGATACTGTTAATCTGATTTTTGTGGATAAGTTTGTATATTAAACAAATATTTGAGCGTGTGGCATAATATGTTAGTTTAAAAAATGGACTCTGGAATTAGAATGCTTGAATTCAATTCTCAGTTCCACGAGCTACCAGCTCTGTTATACTAGGCAAGTGTCTTAATGCAATGTGCCTCAATGTTGTCATCTGAAAAACAAGTATACTACTAATAACAACTTCATAGGATTGTTGGAAATTTAAATGAGATCCCCAGCTTTAGAACAAGACCTGGCACATAATAATCAACTAGCTAGTAAATACTAACTATTGCAATTAACTGTATTTCAGACACAGTCTGCTAAGTACTGGAGGGTAGAATAGTGATTGGGAATGAGTACCAGTTCTTATAGGGCTTGGAATAGATTGAAAGAAAAGTATTTTAAATAAATAAGTGAATAAATAATTCATTAATTGGGCTTGTTTTAAACACTAAAAGATATAGGTTGCAATAAGAATGTAAAAAGAAGGAAGTGGGAATGGAGTAAAACATCAGAGGGCTTGGGGTGGGGGAATCCCCTTTAAAAGATCTTATATTTAATTGAGAACTGAAGAATAATTAATAGCTAGCCAGACAAAGCATGGGAGAAGAGGCTGAGTGGAAGGAATGGCATACACTGAGACAGGAAGGAGTTTGGTACGTTGGAAGAACTGAATGAAGGCTGGCATCAATAGCAGTGATCAAGAGGGGGAAAGTTTCATGTGATTTATTGGGGCTAGGTTGCATACTGCTTGAAGACAGTGTTAAGGAGCTTTATAATTTATTGTGTGATCAAGGAGGAGCCATTGAGGTGTTCTAGTCAGGGAAAGATTGTGCTTATAGTACAGCCTGATTGTGTAGGCATGTTCCAAGATCCCATGACATGTCATCAAAGGCATCATTTGGTGAACATGATCATTTATAAAGCAGTTTAATCAGGGTAAGCAGGCCAAGACATCCCCAAAAATAAAGATTCAGTGTGTGTGTAATGGAAAGATCCTTGGACCATAAGTCAGGAGACCTGGCTCCTAACTTGGTGTCAGGAGACCTGGCTTCTGATTCTGGCTCTGCCACTCAATAGGAAATTTGCCCAAAGTCACTCAGCTATCTTTTCTGGGCTCAGTGTCCTCAACCATAAAATGAAGGGCTTGGAGTGGATGATCTCTAATGTCCTTTCCAGTTCCAAAAGTCTAGGTTTCCAAGAAATCCATCTCTTGAGACCTAGTTTGAGATCATCAATATGCATAAACAAGGAGAAAGCAATTTACATAAATGAATAATCTTTCTTTTAAAGAAGAAGAAGAATTTTTTTGATGCTAGTAGTTGGTGACAAAAATGGCTTGTGAATTTTTCTCAGAAAAGGAATCTTTGAGATATAGTAAAGTACAACCTGGCGTTGACTTAAATTCATAAAAGTAGATAGGTAATAGCTTTCAAGTGAATATCCTCATGGTAACTTAGAAGGTAGACCAATAACTTGAGATTATTTTAAAGTGGTAAAACATTTGGAGTTAAGAAAATACACTATGTACTAGAATGGTGATAATAAGGAGGGGGGAAATATGTATGGTTATGTTAGAAGATATTTTTATTATACATAATAGATACATTTAGAATTCACATATTTTGGAAATGGAACCATTAAAGTAAATTTTAAAATTATTTATTATTGACCATTTTATCACCTCAAATATTTGCAGATTTACATTGTGTAGCTCTCTTTCAAGTCTTATTTTTCATCTCTTTGAAAGCTAGAGATGTTTTGAAAATAGTTTCAAAGTTGATATGTCTCCATGTAAAGCATCTGCATTTTTTGGATAGGTAGAAATTTACATACTAAATTTAAGTTTTTAGTTAGATAATGATGTGGACTTACTTGTAGAAAGGCTTTCTGTCTCTTTTTAGTAATACTTGATTGAAATATAACTGTTTTTCCTTTTATGTTTTTCAAAAGGAGTATTAATGGTTTTCTAAATTCATGTATATCTGGCCCTATATATAAAATGTCAACTAGAAGATGTAGTTTTGTAAAGAACACTCAATATGTATTCAGATTTTTTTGGTAGATAAAAATGTTTGATAGAGAAAAAAATATTTCATTGGTTCATAGACTGGTATTCACATTCATGCCATATATGGAGGTATAATACATAATTTTCAGGTACTATATACTTAATCAGTGACAATAATAAATACCACTTTACATTCTTAGGCATAGAATTAAAGCAACAATGGAAAATTTTTAGATTAAGATTTATATATTAGAATATTAAATGCTAGCTATGTTGTGATAAATTAACTAGTTAAGATGAATAAATAGTTACGGGAGTTGGGATTTGTTTATGAGATAGCATACCAATTTGATTCATGAGAAGATCATCATGTAATGCTTACTGACTACTCACATATCCTTGGAAATATCTACTAATGTTGTTGAAAATAGTCTTTGTAGTCCAACTATGTTTTCTAATAGCTGGCACCATGGTGCATTTTATGACCAACTTTCAGAAAAGACAGCAAATGAATCCCAAAGATCCCTTTATTCTTCCCTATAAAGCATTTCTCTGGCCATTGTCCCCTGCTGTACATTAAATGTATACATTTTGTCTTTATTTTTGGTCTTCTGTCTTGTTACTTTTGTTCATGAACTTGCTATTGCCCATTTATTATTTAACTGTGTCCTTAGGACATATTTGAGCACCAAATGATTACACAAATAAATCTTGGGGAGACATTTAATTGTTACTTTGAATAAGCAGCATGTTATTAAATTAACAGTCCCAGATTATAGCATCGCCCATCATTCAAATACATGAGGCACATTTTATGAATTTCATGATTGCTGATGGAGTATTGAAGATTGTTGTTGGCTTCACTTTGAAATGAATGCACTAATGTAAATGTTCTCAAATTGTTTATTTCACTTGTATTTCTTTAATCATTTGAAAATAATGGTCTACAAAAAAAATGAAAATAATGGTCTACCTTTATTTGGTTATTAACACTATATGAACCATATGGCAATATATTTTTGAGAGAAGCTTTTAGTTATTAAGCAT